ACTAATTCCACATGTGTCTACAAATTGTGTCGTTTAGGGGTGAGCATCGGTTACGTATCTACCCATTATTTATAAATATTTTATTTATTTAGATACATATATTTTTTTAAACGGTTTATAATTGGAGTTCGAGAAATTTGAACTTTAACTTTAAGTTATGATTGGATACAAATTAGTAAAGGAAAGGAAGAGGAAAGCAGGGAAAGGAAAAAGAGGAGAAATGAAGGGAAGGAAAAAATTAATATTATTTTTATTTGAATAGATGAAAGGGAAGGAGAGAAAATGATAATATTTTTATTTAATTAAATAATTTAATAAAAAAATAAAATAAAAAATAAAAAATAAAAAATTTATTAATTAAAATAAAATATTTACATATATTTATTTATAAAAAATTTAAAATAAAAATAAATTAAATAATAAAATCTCTCTCAAAAATAAAGAAGAAGAGGAGACTCCATCTCCTTTCATCTTTTTTCATTTCATTAAAATTTTTTATTTAAATAAGAAAATAGATTTTCACCCCTTCAATCTCTTTTTTTTCTCCTCTAACTTTTTTAATCCAAACAAAGCATAAAACTAAAAAGATATATCTTATAATTGAGTTTGAGTTTGAAATCATTAGATCTTGAGATAGAAATGCAAATAAATATTTTACTTGGATTATAAAAAATTTGAGTAAAAAGAAAGCCAAGAAGATTACGAAAGGGAGGGAGAATCGAGAATCGAGCGATTGGTTAAAAGCAGTGACGCGTTTTCGAACGTAACGACAAATTAAGTGGGCGTCTGTGCCTCTCCTTCTCTGCTATTGCAAAATGTCTATAATTACCCTTAAATCCTCTGTTGTTTGTTTTAATAAGTTTGTTTTGGCAAACAATTGACTGTTTAAGATTATCAGAGGCACCATTTCTCCCGTTATTCTTTATGTTTCTTCCCTCTGAACTTTCAATTTTGTCAACTCAAAGGCAACCAAAGAAGATCGGATTTTTCAAGCTGTTGATGAATTTTGAAACCTTAATTAATTAATTCAAATATTTTAAAGTTTGGGATGAATCATTTGGATTCAAAAATTTAATTTTTCATAAATTTAAGTTTATCTTAGATAAATTATTATTTTTTTATTTTTTGTATAAATAAATTATTCTTTAATTTTTATATAGATAAATTAAAAGACGCGATATTAAAAAATATAAACAAGACTTTAAAAATGTGAAAACACACAAATTAATCAAGTTTTGCTATCTCTGGCAGCAGCGATTGATCAACTTAAGCATGATCTCGATCAACAAAATAAACAATTCTCTTTACAGCAAAGAAAAGAGGCTATAACATTGTACTAGTTACCAAGAAACGAAAAGAAACGATAGCATTCTACTTCAACGCATCCAGGAAATATATACAGTAATTGCCAGCAAACACAGGGGAACCTTGAAATAAATTAACAACACAGATCGAATAAACATAAAAAAACAAGCATCACCTATGAATTTTACAAGGGGGGCCACCGTTAATTGCCACCATGGGGACCGGGTACGTAAGTGCAATTACTTGTACATGGCCCAGAAGGCGGGCCAGAAACTCTTGCTTGCGTGACCGGTCTGCTACAACCCCCACTCAAGATTTGGATGGCAATTATCAAGATGATCAGAAGCACTACTCTACCTGTCACCCTTAAGGTTCTTCTCTCCATTTTTATTTTTTTCAACTCTGAAACCTTTGTGCGTGGCTAATGTATATATAGATAGAGCTGGTTTTTATTTTTTTCAACTCTGAAACCTTTGTGCGTGGCTAATGTATATATAGATAGAGCTGG